CTTGTGTTCCCCCTCTCGCTGTGTCTCTCTCTCTCAAATAAATAAATAAAATCTTAAAAAAAAAAAACAAATATGAGAAGGAACAATTCATTCGACTTAACACCATTACTGTGCTGACACTTATTCTTGCTTCTGCCTACATACCTGCCTACTCAGACATTTTTAAAAGTCTTTTAGAGACTTCTTTGTAAAGAAAACACTAGTCTTCTCTAAAAACAATGTAAATTAGGTATTTGAGTCACTGGCTAGTTTCCCGAACTTCACAAAAATCTTAGATTACAATGGGCAATTTAAGTATATTAGTTTTATTCTACTAGTTTTGTTTCGATGAGCCAAAGATTTACTGGTAAATCAGTAATCTGGCAAGATATTGGGAAAAATCTTTCTCTAATATAACAATTATAGTAAGTTTAGCAAATCGCAACGTAGGACAATTTAAAGACTCCTAGAAGAGGCATAAAACTCTCACACCAAGTGAGAAAGTGTAGTGCCACATGTACACTCTCGACGGAGGTTCAGAGCTATATCCAACCACTTTTCCAAGTGAGTAAAGACCTCTGGAAATTAAACAGGAGATCGTCCCCTATTATTTGGTTCTTCAAAGGTGAAAAACTGAACAGGTGGCCTAAGTACAATTCGCGTAAGGTTCTGGGAGACACGAGCAGGCCTTAAAGGGGACTGCCAAAAGCACAATCATTCATTTATCTCCACAAATTCAGACTGGGTACGCCCCCACCCCACCCCACCCCACCTCAGGCCCTGTGGAACTGAAATCAATCAGTCCCTGAGCTCTGCTCTCTGGAAGACAGGGTGAAGTGGCAAGGAGGGGAAAGCACATAAACAGGCACTATAAGTCTTGCATGCGAGTACTGAGGTATGCACCGAATCTGTACCTTTCACCCATGTATACCCAGCGTGTCTTATTCAGCAAGCGCTCATTAATTGTTCACTGAACCCATGAATAAATAAATATGAGACACTTAAGACGAGCTCGGAGTTGCGGCTGCATATTCGCGGCGGTCTCCTTGGCCCAGGCGCCCACCACCACCCGCTCATTTGCCCGGCCGGGAGTTCACCCTCTCCTGTCGCCACAGGCAACGGCAATAACCAAAGGTCAGCTTGAGCCCGGGCCCAGGCCACGCCAGCCGCCCGCCCCCGGGCGGTACTTACCGTTGGTGTAGAGAGACCCCGAGGCCGAGGAGGCCCCGTTCTGGGCCTGCAGGCCGGTTGGGGCGCCGCCGGAGGCCGGTATCCCCGGCTGGGACATGACGACGGTGCGCGTCGGGGTTGGAAGGGAATGGTCGGGGTCTGCGACAGCGCCAAACGAAGAGCTGAGAGACGACTGCTAGAAGCGGAGGGAAGGAACCACCGACTCAGGACTGAGGCGAGGAGGAGAGAGGGCGGCGCATCATGCCCTAAGCACGGTGCGGCATTCTTCCCAGCCCGCGAGCGGCCACGGCTTGGCCTGGGAGCTGAGGCTTGGAAGTCGGACCGGTGGGGCCGAGAACGCCGGGCTGGACGGCGGCAGCCTAACGAGAGAGAAGAGAGGCCCCGGCCGGAAGTGCCTGTCAGCCGCTGGCCGCGCAGGCGCAATCGGGACACGTGGCACTTCCGGCTCCGGGCTCGCCGCCGCTACCGCGGTCGCGACGCTCTCTTCTCCCCTCGGAGCGGCCCAGAGGCCACCTGACAGCTCCGGGTGTCCCAGCCCGAAGGACCGTGCTCGACCTCGCCTGCCACGTCACTGAGTCTTACCGTCGGCCGGAAGTGGCGTGTGTCACTGCTACGGAAATCCCCGCCGTAATGAACGTCATCTCGCGGGCAGGGCCAGAATCTGAGGGCAGGCAGGGCTTCAGTAGCCACTTTCGAGGGGTGGGACTGACAGTTCCGCTCCTGGCGTTTGTGAGGATTACCTGAGACGACAGACGTCATCGTCCTCTCTTGAGACTATACCTCTGGTAGCCGAACTGATGAATATTCATCGCAGTATTTCATTTCACATTTCATCATATTCCAGGTGTAAACTGTAGGGTTTTGTTTTTTTTAAAGGGGTTATTATGTACGTGTGTTAAAAGTGTAATCAAATCGAGGAGGAAGCCTTTGTTTTTTGACTGGACGACTCAGAACTAATTTTAATTTTGAAACTCGCTGATTCATAGCATAGTCACGCGAAAGTTCATTAACATCACGTTGAACAGCAGGTTTAAATGGCAGTTTTAGTTCCTCTTCTAAGAGTTTACAGTAAGGTAAAACATTCAAATTTCCTTTCTGGGCAAGTAGACTTTTTTTTTTCCAAGTAGACTTTTTTTTTTATTTTTGAGGCTAAGGGGAGGTAGAAACCGGAGTGATAGGATAGTACAGTTAATTGATGATCTCCTTAACCATTTTAGCTACCTTCATTCTACTTAGGTTTTTCCTGCCCTGAGCTGATGACAAAGTTCTTCTTTAAACTGAAGATTTGTTCTGTTGATTAAAACATCATGCCAAGGGTGCCTGGGTTGCTCAGTCAGTTAAGTGTCTGCCTTTGGCTCAAGTCATGATCCCAAGGTCCTGGGATTGAGCTCCATATCGGACTCCCTTCTCAAGGGGGAGTCTGCTTCTCCCTCTCCCTCGCCTCTCCTCCCTACTAGTGTTTTCTCTCTCTCTCTCAAGTAAACAAATCTTTTTTAAAAAATGTCATGGGAAAGGTTTTGCAACTGGTGAAGGGTGAAGTAGATCTTAATTCATTTAATATCAAATACCTACTATGAAATACTGTATTTATACTGTATAATGTTATATTACATAATCATTAGAGCAAGAGTTAAACCACTGTGTCAGACCTGAAAAGCAAACAGTAAAAATCAAATAACTAAGGGTTAAATTTTATCCTAACCCTGTTTTTATCATTTGCCTCAGAACCTTACTGAAAATGTATTTGCCCTTTTGGTGTTAAACAATTAAACTCCTTTGCACAAGATACAAGTACAAAGGTTTCTTTAGGATGAAGATGATACTTTTTTTTTTAAGATTTTATTTATTTATTTGACAGAGACACAGTGAGGGAGGGAACACAAGCAGGGGGAGTGAGAGAGGGAGAAGCAGGCTTCCCGCGGAGCAGGGAGCCCGATGTGGGGCTCGATCCCAGGACACTGGGATCATGACCTGAGCCAAAGGCAAACGCTTAGCAACTGAGCCACCCAGGTGCCCCTGAAAGATGATACTTTTAGTCAAACTGTTTCCCTATAACAAAATCCCAAATCATATATCCCAAGAACACTTAAAAATATAAGTAACACAAGCCTCTAAATGTTTTAAAAGAAAACAGACCTCAGAAAGAAACTAACTTCCTGAGAGGTCAGACAGAAAATCACTGTCACTCTTCAAAGGGGAAGATGCTTAGACCTGGTCTCAAACTTGCCGTAGTTTAATTTTTTTTTTTTTTAATGCAACTCCTTAATTGGTTTATTGACCTTGGCACAGGAGTTTGATTTGGTTAAATCAAGCTTTCTTTGGACTTTGTTCTGTTGAAGCAATATCTGTGTGTTCAGAGGGGAAAAAAACTAATAGGATTAGCCATTTTAAAACATAAATCATGGGGTGCCTGGGTGGCTCAGATGGTTACGCGTCTGCCTTCGGCTCAGGTCATGATCCTGGGGTCCTGGGATGGAGTCCCGCATCAGGCTCCTGCTCAGCGGGGAGCCTGCTTCTCCCTCTGCCTCTCTCTCTCTCTGTCTCTTATGAATAAATAAATAAAATCTTAAAAAGAAAAAAACATAAATCATGGTTGGTTAAATAAGGTTAAATAGGGGTGCCTGGGTGGCTCAGATGGTTAAGCGTCTGCCTTCGGCTCAGGTCATGATCCAGATCCCGTGGTCCTGGCTGGGATCGAGCCCCCTGTCCAGCTCCCTGCTCTGCAGGAAGCCTACTTCTCCCTCTATCGCTCCCCCTGCTTGTGTTCTCTCTCTGGCTGTCTATCAAATAAATAAAATCTTTAAAAAGAAAACAAAAACTGTCTTTAAAAAAATAAATAAGGTTAAATAATAATATGCTAGTAAGTAAATACTGCTTTTTATAAAATTTGTCCCCTCCTCCCTCCCCCCCCCAGTGTTGTTATTATTCCCCAAAAAACTATGGTTAAGTCTTTTCAGGTGTTTTTTACATTTTCAACATAGTTTTAAAATATTGAGGAGAAAAGCAGCATTTGTCATCTGCCCACCCTCAGAGACAATAGGAAATTAAGTTTAAGGAATTGAGGTGAGACAGCATAGTTAAAAACTTAATTGTCTTTTTAAGTGTCATCCACACATTGTCAAATCCTTCTCTGACTTCTTGAAGTGTGACTACCTATCAAGGAAAAATTATTAGTGCTATTACCAGTTGTTAAGGGTATTGATCTTTTTTAGTTAACTACCTGTATCTATCCTACAGTACCATACATTTTTCTAAACTAATGTCAATAATATATTCTACCTTTTTATCCTTGTTTTCCAGAACAACAGGACCCTTCTGCCACAGATACACCCTTCATATGTGTATGTATCAGATTTTCTGTACATTATTTTCAAAGCCTTCAACCCTACTTAAGATCATAAACAAACAAAAAAACAAATGACACTCCAGAGTCTCAGCAAGGAGACAGCACTATACAAAGAATGGTCCATTAAAGTTGATTATTTATTTTAGACCCAAAGAGGTAGACAGGCATTCCTAATAATATTTGCTGACATGCAGAAGTAGACTCAGGCTCACACACTAGGGCCCCTTTGCCTGCCTGCTCATCACTGTTGAATTGTCAGCTGATAAACTGGAACAATTCTGTTTACTTTTCAGAATGGGGGAATTATTTTAGGTCTTTTAATCATTTAAAAATGTGTTCTAGGGGCGCCTGGGTGGCTCAGTCATTAGGTGTCTGCCTTTGGCTCAGGTCATGATCCCAGGGTCCTGGGATCAAGCCCCGCATCGGGCTCCCTGCTCGGCGGGAAGCCTGCTTCTCCCTCTCCCACTCTCCCTGCCTGTGTTCCCTCTCTCGCTGTGTCTGTCAAATAAATAAATAAAATCTTTTTAAAAAAATAAAAATAAATAAAAATGTGTTCTATTTCAAACCAAAAAAAAAAAAAAAAAGGTTTCAATTACAAACAATAGGTTTGTTCTGAAACTCTTGTGACTCCATTTTAAGAACAGTTCCTTAGGCCTCATTTGCCTCTGGCAGGACATCTGTTTGTATCTAAAGTCAGTAGCTCCAAAGCTGTATCACAAGAACACTCCTCTCACACCAAGCCAGCAAATCCCATGTTTTCTTTGAAAACTTTTCATCTTTATGTAGTTCTTGCCATTCTCACCACCCACTGGTTAATTTTCATCATCTTGCAGTGGAACTCCTGGGATAGCCTTTCTGGTTTGCCTCTCTCCAATCCATCCTACATGTTGAACTGAGCTCCTAAATACTTATTCTGTCTTTATTTTCCTTTACCCCAACACCTGTAATTGCTCCCTGTGCCTGTTCCATCAAGTTTCTCTGCATGGCTTTTCTCATCTCGCACTGAGTAAAATCCAAAGTCCTACTCAACCTTTGAAGTCCCACATGACCTAGCCCTACTACCTCTCTTCATCTTCCATACTCTCTCACTCACTCCGCTGCACACACACTTGCTGTTTCTCTACCTACCCAACCACAAGCCTGCCGTTCACGCTTGCTTACTTCTTATCCCTCAGTGCTCTTCCCCAAGATACACAGGTGGCTCAATCTCTCACCCCTTCAGCCTTTATTCAGGTTAACTTATTGTTTACCCCTTCTCTGAACACCCCATACAATAGCTTACCCTCCCTGCTCACTCTAACCCTCTTATCTTGCTTATTACTTTTTTTCATAGCACCTCTCATCATTGTTAAGTGCTTAGGGCTATGTTTACCTTTCTTCAGTGGGATAAAATTCTATACATATCCTGCCCATTCTAAGGTATTTTTTTTTATTTCATATGTGTCTCATTGTTTAGACTATCAGAGAGTAGAGACCAAGGATCTGTCCTTTTCACATCTGTATTCTCAGCACTTGACTTGGGGCCTCACCTTTAACAGGTGTTCGTTAAATGTTTTTGAATGAATGAATTTAAAGTGTCATCTTTTCCCATCTTCTGACTATTTTGCCTCTCATCAATTCACTACTACAAGTTCATATTTCAAGTATAGCTAAGCCACATTACTAGCACTTGTTTCTAAATTATGTCTTTAATTCTTTTAGGTTCTT